GGAGGACAGGTCCATCAATGGCTGTTAGCCAAGATTGTCAGGGATGCAACCCCATGCTCTGGGTGTCCTAAACCTGTGACTGCCAGGAACTGAGAATGGATGACAGGGGATGGATCATTCGATAAATTGGCTTGTTCTGTTAATTCCCTATGAAGTCTCTGGCACCAGCCACTGCTAAAAGAGAGGATATTAGGCTAGATGGACCATTGGTCTGACCCAGTATGGTCACTCTTTTGTTCTTATGGTCACTTCAAAGAAATCTAAACATGTTAAGGTAAGAAATGCACAGGAATCCAAACGGCCTTAACTTTGCCCTGCAAATACCATATGATTACGTGATTAAGGCATTTTAGTTCTTGTGGTCCCAGATTAGATTAAACTGATTTAAAAGTAGATGTTTTTCTTTTTCCCCGATGGTGTCAATATATGGCAGAGTGGAGGTTGTTTGGTTCATTGTGCACTTCCCTACCTAAATTAGTTTGTCTGTGTTTTAAGTGTATTCCTTTTATAATCCATGGTTTGGAGATACTTACAACAGCCTGTAATATTTTTTATCCTTAAATTATTGTTATGTGCTCGCAGCCCTAACTCCATCTGAACATATTTTTTTGTCTGGGAATTTTTTTTTAATTATTAAAAATGTCATACATGAACACTAACCCCTCCAAAACACACACATAAAGAAAATACTACTATGAGATAGTCCTCATGATCTCATAATCAATAATACCAACCTTAAATCACTTTTAAAATTTTAACTTTTAAGAACAATTCACCAGTATACCAGAGCAGTGTAAATCAGCCATAGTACACTAGCTAGTTAGGCTGGGTTTACAGGTGCTTTGCATCTCCATAGCAGCAAAAAAGAGTCAAAGTGTACTGGTGGATCTGATCCTTCATTTGCAATTACTCTATTGGTTTAAAGGGTTAAGTTACAGAGACTGGTGTTATGTAAAAGGAGAGGTTGGAGAGCTCAACATCTGCACTTTGAGGTCTCCCCCTATGCTCTTGTCTCAATTCCCCCAGACAGTGCTTCACTGTGTGCAGTGGAACCACTAGCATGTGACCATGGAACCTATAAAGAGCAGCAGCAACAGTTGGACCCATGAGAACTTTGGACATGTATCCAGTCTTCCTATAATTATAACCAATAGAACTGCTGTATGCAGAGCCGTAACTAGCTATTTTTGCGCCCCAGGCAAGAATATAAAATTGCGCCCCTTCCTAGTAGTTACTTTGTAAAAAAAAAAAAACGTAAATAACAAGAATAATAATGATAATAGAACATTTATTTTAATCATAAGATCCACATACAAAATCAACTAATACATATAAGGTGTGCAGCATAGTGCATCATGAACTGTGGGGGTCGGGGCTTGCAGCCCGGCGCAGGGGTCGGGGCTCACAGTCCGGTGCAGGGATCAGGGCCAGGGCTCGCAGCCGCGCATCCCTGTCAGGGTTGGAGCTCACAGCCTGGTGCAGAGGTCGGGGCTCCTAGCCCCACAGCTCCACACAGGGGTCGGGGTCGGGGTCGGGGCTCACAGCCGCGTGCCTGGGATGGGGATCACAGTCCGGCGCAGGGGTCGGGGCTTGCAGCCCAGTGCAGGGGTCGGGGCTTGCAGCCCGGTGCAGGGGTCGAGGCTTGCAGCCCGGCACAGGGGTCAGGGCTTACAGTCCAGTGCAGGGGTCGGGGTCAGGGCTTGCAGCCACGTGTCCCTGTCGGGATCGGAGCTCACAGCCTGGCGCAGCAGTCGGGGCTCGTAGCCCCACAGCTCCACATGGGTCGGGGTTCGCAGCCGCGTGCCTGGGTCGGGGCTCAGAGTCCGGCGCAGGGGTCGGAGTCGGGGCTTGCAGACCGGTGCAGGGGTCGCGGCTTGCAGCCCAGGGTCAGGGCTCGCAGCCACTCCCAGAGGTCGGGGTCGGAGCTCACAGTCTGGCACAGGGGTCAGGGTCAGGGCTCGCAGCCACGCACTAGGGTCGGGGTCGGGGCTCACAGTCTGGCACAGGGGTCGGGGTCGAAGCTCACAGCCCGGCGTAGCGGTTGGGGCTCGTAGCCCCGCAGCTCCGTACAAGGGTCGGGGTCGGGGCTCACAGTCCAGCACAAGGGGTCGGGGTCGGGGCTCGCAGTCCGGCGCAGGGGTCGGGGCATGCAGCCCGGTGCAGGGGTCGGGGTTGGGGCTTGCAGCCCGGGGTCAGGGCTCACAGCCACACCCAGGGGTCGGGGTCAGGGCTCACAGCCGCGCGCCTGGGTCAGGGATCACAGTCCAGCGCAGGGGTCGGGGTCAGGGCTTGTAGCCTGGCGCAGGGGTCGGGGCTCACAGCCATGCCCAGGGGTCAGGGTCGGGGCTCACAGCCGCGTGCAGGGTCGGGGTCAGGGGTCACAGCCCGGGGTCGAGGCTCACAGCCGCACGCCCGGGTCGGGGCTCACAGTCCGGCGCAGGGGTCGGGGTCGGGGCTCACAGTCCAGCGCAGGGGTCGGGGCTCACAGCCACACACTAGGGTCGGGGCTCGCAGTCTGGTGCAGGGTCGTGGTCGGGGCCCACAGCCATGCGTCCCTGTCGGGGTCAGAGCTCACAGACCAGCGCAGCAGTCGGGGCTCGTAGCCCTACAGCTCCACACAGGGGTTGGGGTTCGCAGCCATGTGTCACGGTCGGGGCTCACAGCCCGGTGCAGGGATTGGGGCTCGCAACTTGCAGCCACACGCCGGGGTTGGGGCTCTCTACCCCCCACATAACCCAGTTTGAGAACCAATGCTTTATAATTACTGTAGGGTGTATTCTATTTATTTTCCATTTACATTGTACATTTGTCATGGCGCAGTGTGCATATTATGTGATTATCATTTTTCATAAAATAGTAAGAATTCAAAAACTTCATTTGTCTTTTTCTGCACCCCTCAGCTTTGCGCACCCGAGGCAAGTGCCTCACTCACCTTGCCCTTGTTACGGCACTGGCTGTATGCAAATGATTTGTAGGAGACGAGTGATCAGTGGAGTCAAAATGGACCCATTTAAGTTACCTGAGATATTGACCAGAGTTTGTCTGTAGCCTATATAATCATAACAATTACATACAACAGCCATTAATAACTTTAGCTTAATTACACCTAAATTTCTTCAAATGTAGCCTACAGATAAGGTTTAAGTGAAGTTTAACTATGTGGAAGCTTTGATGAGTCTGTGCCATTCTGTTGTCAAGATCATTTGGGACAAATAAAAGTCTGATACAGATGCTACATATCTTAAAGGACCCATTTTAAAATTATTTTTAAGAAACTAACAGATTTACTTGTAAAGTCTCAAGAATTGTTTTCTGCACTCAGAGTGAACGCTGGAAGTGCAGAGAGGATACACTGTAGTTTTCATACAGAACAATGAGGTTGAATCTCTCAAAATGGAACTCAGCCTTCATGATGGAATCATGACTGGAGCCTCCATGAAGAAAGTTGCTGATTTGATTTGGGTGTTTTTAATTTCCTTTTGTATGTATATGTACTGTATTCGATTTGAACTGTATGGGCTGTATCCTGCATCCTTTTCTCACATGAGCAGTCCCCCACTGACTGATCTCAGGTCCCCACTGAAGTCACACCCCTCTGATTGCCTGGCCACGCAGACTCCCCAGCTGGCACTTCCTAGTTTTGGGGGCTATGCTGACCACTGACACTGACTCTTTTCCACAGACAGCTTTGGTTTGCCCTGAGCTAGCCCCTTTGCTTTCGAGTGAGCTGGGGACTATGTCAAGACTTCAAAGGGAGTAACAGAGCCCAGAGAGCTATGACTGATATCACAGCTGGAGGGGGGTGCTGATGCTGTGGGGCAGAGAGGATCTAGTAGGCACCAAAACTCAGAGGTGCTCGTAGCCCTACACCTTATGTGCAGTCTCACCATTGGCAGGGGCTCCCAGGGCACAAGCGCTAGGCAGGTCCCCAGGTGGAAGCACTGGTGTAGGTTCTGGCCCCACAGCAGCAGCAAAAAGGAGCAGCACTGGCTGCCTCACTGCCCATTCAGGTATGGGGCTACAGGGCCAAACCTGAGTGGTGCTGCATATGCCAGGCTGCAATGCCACTCACTCAATTTTGGCCCCATGACTCCCATCATGGGGGTGTGAGGCCAAACCTGAGTGGACAGGGGGGTGGCCAGCTCTGCTCCTCCTCAATGCAGCCATAGGGCCAGCTCCTGCACCAGAGAGTTACCCAACCCTAGGGCCCTGCCTGGCCTTGCCCCAATTCCAGTAGCTCTCTGCTTGCAGGACTCGCTCAGAAAGTGCACCAAGACTTGCTTACAAGTATGGGGAGCTGCAGTTAGTACCCACACAGGGGAGCCAGCCGGGAGAGAGGCAGTGAGGAGCCTTAGGGGGAGGGGGCAGACACGAGAAGGTTCAGTTTTGTGTACCATGTGAACAAATTCTGGGAGTGCTATTGGGGTAACTTCCAGTGAAATAGACAAAGGAGCCACCCTCCCCCATAATTAAAGATGTACTGACCATCCTTGGAGGGGAGATTCCACCTCTCAGAGATAAGCCTGGGTAGTCTTTCCATGCAACAAGTGTTTTCCTTTGAAATTCCAAAATCACCAAAGTACCTCCTCTGCACACCTAAACCCTGCTGAATATAACAGGCCTTTAGTGAGGACACAGGAGGGGCAGAATCGGAGCTAACCAAAGGCAGTTCCTTTCTCCTTTGAAAACCAGGAACACCTGTCCTGGGTGCCATCTCAACCTTCACCTTCACCAAGCTCATTCACTTCTCCCTCCCCAAGCTCTAGCGCCCGGCGCAGGGCCGGAAGGGGTCCCACTCCATTAGCACTCTGGATTGCTCAGCTCTAGCACCAGAGACAGAACCGGGTCTGGCCCCGGCCCCGGCCCCGGCCTCCGCTCCAGAGCCTGGTGAGTTCTGCAGCTCCAGCTCCGGACCCTACCCCAGAGCCTGGGCAGGGCACGTTCCTCCAGGCCCGGGGAGGCGGGGAGGCCGGGGTCTCCTGGGTCACACGTGGGTATGGGATTTCATTCTGCCCTGCTGTTCCCCAGGCAGGTGCTGGCGGGAAGAGAGGCGCAATGGGAGCGGCCGCCTGCACCCCCTGCAGTCCTAAACATTGAGGCCTTTGTTTCAAACTCGAATCAAACCTCCCGAGCCGGCCGGGGAACCCTGCGGCTCCTGAGCGGGGATCGGGCTGCCACACTCGCGCGAGCAAGCCCTGCCAGCGTGCACGAGTGGGAGGAGCAGTTCAGAGCCGCGCAGGGCCGGAGAGCCCCCGAAGGGGGACAGACCCGAGCCCCTGCGGCAGGACGGGGACAGTGAAGCGCCCTGGCAGGGGGCAGGAGCCGCTTGCGAAGCAGCCAGTGGACATGTCCCAGGCCGTGAGTCTGCTCGCGGGGCTGGGGCGGGAGCGCGCAGCCCCAGGCAGCGAGCCCAGCCGCGGAAGGGAGGTGAGTCGCTGCTGGGCACTTCTCCCAGGGCAAACGAGCCCGCCGGGACAGAGGGCCGGGCGGCGGCAGCGGGGCACTTCAAAGGCCTGTCCGGCTCAGCCCGCCCTGGAGCCCAGCGCCCCTTGGCTCGGGGAGCCGCTGCTGCCCCCCGCTGCGCATCGCATCGCATCGCCCGGACGGGACAGGACGGGAGAGGCGGGGCGGGAGCCGGCAGAGCAAAGGCCGGAATCTCCTGGCAAGGAAACAGTAAAGCCCCCCCTCCGCCTGGATCCCAGGGGGCGGAGGGGAGGGGAGGGCAGGGCGGGGGCTGGCCGGCTGCTGCCCCACGCGGCGCCCGGGCTGGCGGCGCCCCCGGCGGGCTCCCCGTGCCCCTCTGTCATGCGTCTGCTCTGGGACGAGAAGGCGAGTCCGTGCGCCAAGAAAAGCCGAGCGCCCCCGAGCCCCGCCGCAGAGCCCGGGCACCAGCCGCCGGCCCCCGCTAACTACGCCCAGGCGCTGCCCTCGCCGCTCATTGGAGCGGGACTGAGCGGAGCGACCAGAGCCTGCGCTGCCCTGGGAACAGCAGGAGCAGGCCCGGGCCAGAGACCCCAGCTCCGGCCAGCACGGGGGAGACAGAGCCCGCCAAGCGCTGCCCGCCCCCAGGGACTAGTTCCTCCGGGACCCGGAGCCCCCGCCCGTCTGCAGCCGAGCGGAACAGGAGGCAGAGCCCGTCCGAGCGCCCAACTCCTCTGCGCCTTCCCCCGCAGGGGGCTCCGGGTCGCGATGGGCAGAGGAACCGTGCAAGTGCTGCTGCTCCTGGGACTGCTGCACTGGGGCCCCGGTGGCGAGGGCAGGAAGAACTGGAGGCGGCGAGGGCAGCAGCCGGCGGCTGCGGCGGCAGCCCGGGAGCGGAGCGAAGCGACTGGGCAGCCCGTGGAGAGCTTCCCGCTGGACTTCACCGCCGTGGAAGGCAACATGGACAGTTTCATGGCTCAGATCAAGAGCCTGGCGCAGTCACTGTATCCCTGCTCGGCCCAGAACCTGCACCACGAGCTGCGCCTCCATCTCCTGCTCAACAGCTCGGTCACCTGCAACGACGGCAGCCCGGCCGGGTGAGTGCGGGGCTGGGATCCTTTCCAGCACACAGACCAGCTCGAGCCTCCCCTGACCCTGAGCCCGCAGCGCACCCTTCCCGACACAGCCCCAGCCCCAGCCCCGAGTCCTGGCCCCGTCGCTCTCCCGCACTACAGGGGCCCTTTCACCTCCCCGCGGCTGGCTTCACGATTCCGCCCGCATTATCCCGCGCCCCAAAGCTGCTGTGCGGGCTGGAGCCTGCTCTCGGAGGGCTCCTGCGGACTGAAAGGGATGCCGAGGAACCATCCCCAAAGTTCTCGGGGAATGACCCACCCCACACGCCTCCCGGCCCTTTCCTTTACTCATCTCTTCCATGCTCCTCTCCCATCCTGCTTCATTCACTTCACTAGAACTACTTCATTCCCATCCCTCGCTTTCAGTGCTTGCTTCCCCACCCTGAGGAACTAGTCCCTGAGGGGTGGGGAAGGGAGAGTCAATGTCCTTCATTTTAATTTATCAGTAGTTTTCCAAAGTCCATTAGAATCCACAGCATTTAAAGGCACACCCCAAAGCAGCCAAAGAAGTTCACAGACACAGGGGTGGAGAGGATGACATGGAGACAGAGTCCTAAGAAAGAAATCTGCCTGGGGCTATTTTACTTGATCCTGACTCCTCCTGCATTATCACTCACCCTCATCCTCACCCCTCTTTTATTGTTACCCTCACCAGCATGAGGTAGTTAATTCATGGAGCCAGCACTCGCTGTTCTTCATGTGTGTGTGTATAAGTGGGGATGACAATGCTTACCCACCTTGTAAAGTGCCTTGAGATCCTCTAATGGAAGAAGCCAGAGAAGTGCCAATTATTATTTTTTTGATTATTATTATGATTGCTGACCCTCTCCTATTCCTGCTTTATGTATATTTAAACGAAGTATGAACATTTTTGTCTAGCACTCAAACTCTGCTTCCACCTCGTGGTCGTTACTAAAAACACAGCAAGCAACAGGTGGAATAACTCTTTCCTGCCTGGAAATTCTTAGGAATTCTAGGAATTTGTTTAATGCATTTATTTTGGAGAGAGATAAAAGCCAATCTGCCTGGCTCAGGATCTCCGGGAAGGCCCTTTGATCAGACGGTTTGGAGCTCTTCTGACAGCCTTCCTGTTTCTTTCTCTTGTTCTTTAACCAAATATTTTATGTAACCCTCTTGATATTATAATGAGTTTGTGTATCAAAGAGCTGGTGGTTAAGCTAGTCAGTCTGCCTAATGAATTTAATGCTGCTTTCTGCTTGTTTTTTCTTTAGCTACTACCTCAAAGAATCAAAAGGCAGTAGAAGGTGGCTGCTGTTCCTGGAAGGTGAGCCTGGATTATTTTTTATTTAAGCACAGATCAAGCTTTTTAGCCTCTTTTGTAAATGAAGAAGTAGGGATGGGGGAGAGCTATCCAACTGCTTTCTTCAAAGGCTGTGCAAAATGTGTGTGCTGGCTGCCTTCTGTCTCCATCCTTCCACCCGACGCACTCACTTTGTCATATGCCTCTGCTGCCTGACAATTTAGTGGATTTCTTGGCATCCTAACTACCCCCCTGACCCTAATTAAAGCTTCTTAATCCAGCTACCTCTTTCTGTCATTTCCTTTACCCACTGCTTGCACCATTCATCTCAGCCTGGGAATCCCATGTTCTATTGTACACGTTCATCTCTCTCTCTCTCTCTGATACTTTGCCACTCCTTCTCTGAACAAAATGACAGCAAGGAACTGACTTGATTTTTTTTTTTTCTCATGACCCAGGGGGATGGTATTGCTTTAATAGAGAAAATTGTGATACCCGCTATGATACAATGAGGAGGCTGATGAGCTCCAAGGAGTGGCCCATTACCAAAACTGGTAAGTCTTTCTGTGCAGGGGGTGGAAACACCATTACACATTACATCTACCCGCTACACATAATTACAAAAGGGAAAATAGAAAGGGGGGAATACACAGATTTTTTACTGTAGCAGAGTTCCTCACAATATACACTGTCACTTACCCACAATTGTTCCTGTTCAGATATTAACACAATGTAAGTCACATACATGCATTTGCCTGTACATGTATACACACTTCCATTAATTAATATGCATATGCACGTGCCCTCGCAAAAACATGAAAACATACACAAGTATGCATGCACACTTGCAGAGATGTCATCCTTCTTTGAACCCCCTCTAATTCTGCAATATAATTTTACAGATGACCAGTACTGCACACATCCCAGATGGAGTATCATTGATTTGTATATTGCCCTACAGGACCACATGGGAGACAAGAGTCTTTCCAAGTGTAGTCCAAGGTTGGGTAGGTTGCGGGGTACACATCACCCCCCTCTTCCAGCCCTGTGTAGATCAATCAAATATATAATATTCTAGGGGGGTCCCTCCCTTTCCCCTCCCTCTGAGGTCCCCGAGGGAGCTGTGGCAGGGGGACCACCACGGTAACATGGCTCTAATGTGCCAAGGAGCTAGAGTCAGTGGAGACAGACAGTGCCACCATGTGGATGGCCCTGACTTCCTGCAGCTCCCCAGGCATCAGTGTGGCTCTCCGGGATCTGTCAAGATTAGGGAAAAACACTGTCCTGACTCCTCACCGCCAATGGGATGAGGTGGGAGGGATCTCTGCAAGGAGAGGCTCACACAGATTTCCTCCCTCTGAGACCCTTACCCTTATGCTGAAAGATCTGAGCCTTAGGGTACATCCAGACTACCCGCCATATCAGCGGGTAGCGATCGATTTATCGGGGATCGATATATCGCGTCTCGTTAAGATGCGATATATCGATCCCCGAACGCGCTCCCTGTCGACTCCGGAACTCCACCGGAGCGAACGGCGGTAGCGGAGTCGACGGGGGAGCCACGGCCGTCGATCCCGCGCCGTGAGGATGGGAGGTAAGTCGGAATAAGATATGTCGACTTCAGCTACGGTATTCCCATAGCTGAAGTTGCGTATCTTACATCGACACCCCCCCAGTGTAGACCAGGCCTGAGTCAGCAATTCTGCCCATAATGGATGAGCCATTCAAAGCCAGCAGCAGAATCAGTTTTGAAAATTGACATTTAATGGTACATTCTCTTATTTAGTGAATCTAGGCTCAAATTTTCTATGCCCAAACTCCTCTCACTGCAGGATAGGGGCCAATTCATAACTGGCTCCCTGACTCTGCTCCAGTATTAGAGCAACTGATAGGCTGCTTTAACCTATGGCACTGGCATAAGAGAAAGATAGGTATCCTCCATCTCCTAACATGTTGCCTAAACCTGGGGGAAGGCCCTGCCTCAGCTGGCTTTATGCCAACTGGAATTTCCCTCCACAAGGGGAATTTTCTGTTAGCCATTTTCAGCCAGAATCCATCTACTTCGTGCTTCTGGGTAGTGAAAGTAGATTATACCAGAAGATATGGGTTCTTGTGCTTAGCTTCCTATAGTACTGGAAGCAATTACAGCAGTTTATCTTTAAGTGCTTTCCTATTCTTGTTGTTTGGTGACTTCCCTGTGTCTTATTTTTATTTTCATCCCTCCCCCTCTGTATAATGGGGTGAATGATGCTTGATGCTCAGAGCTTCAGATAAATGCCTAGAAATACAGATTACCAACCTTCCTTCCCCTCTTTCCTTTTTCTGACTGCTGAGCTTCATACCTCACTGCTCCCTGATTGTGGGCCAAATTCAATGCTGCACCTTTCAGGAGGCACAGCATAGAAGGCGCAGCACAGGAGGTGGGGAGCAAAGGTGAGTTATATACATCACATATTCACTTCCCTAATTCTGAGCTTCTCTAAGAGGTGGCTTAACTCCCAGCATAAGTTAGAATAGTCCTAGGGGGTGCTTCAATGTATGGCAGACACAGCTGCAGGTGGAAAAAACTGGAGTACTTTGCACTTGGGCCACTCCCCATCCAGCCCTCAATACACCAACCACAGCTCTCTCTCTGGCATGGCTCTACTTTTGGGGACTGCACAGGAGAATGATGAAGGGCTGCCCACATCAGCTCTACACTGCTCTTGTGTTGGAGGAATTCCCATTAGGGCCATTGAGGTCCCATTACATCACTAGAATGGTATAAATGGGTCATAGTGGAGGCCAGAATCTGGCTCTGGCTCCTACTTCTTTGGCCAGCCTCATTGGAACCATTGGACTTCAGTATTTCATCTGTTGTCCTTAAAGGGGTAATCATCATAACAGGCTCTTATATAATTCTTGTATAATAGTCTTGGCCTGTCAAACTTCCAGAAGAAATTCATTCACTGTAGTTTGGGGGAGAGGCCTTCACAGAGGGACACACACCAGTGAATGTATTTGCAAAGACACACACACACATTATTATGTAATTCACTTGGATCAGTTTATCTATCTCCGATAGGCCTGGTCCTATGACTTGGAGGCCCCAAACTGCTTCAGATGGGAAACCAGATTGTGAGTTTCTGGGTCTCACCTGCCCTCCCATATGGCCTTGTGAAGGCCCTACCTTCCTTCCGATTTAGGGCAACCAGACAGCAAGTGTAAAAAATTGGGACGGGGGTGGGTGGGGGTAATAGGAGCCAATATAAGAAAAAGACCCAAAAATCGGGACTGTCCCTATAAAATCGAGACATTTGGTCACTCTATTCCCATTCATAACTGCATAATATTCCTTTGGTATGTACAGTAGAACCTCAGAGTTATAAACACCTTGTGAGTGGTGGGTATTCATGAAATGTTTGTAACTCTGAACAAAGTGTTATGGTTGTTCTTTCAAAAGTTTACACCTGAACATTGACTTAATACAGCTTTGAAACTTTACTATACAGAAGAAAAATGTTGCTTTCCCCTTATTTTTTTGGTAGTTTATGTATTTGCTTTTTATTATTTGTCTCTGCTGCTGCCTCATTGTGTACAGGTCTGTCACATCTTACGCGCATTTAACATGCGCGATTTCATAGACTATCAGGGCTGGAAGGGACCTCAGGAGGTCATCTAGTCCAACCTCCTGCTCAAAGCAGGACCAATCCCCAGATAGATTTTTGCCCCAGATCCCTAAATGGCCCCCTCAAGGATTGAACTCACAACCCTGGGTTTAGCAGGCCAATGCTCAAACCACTGAGCCATCCCTCCCCCCAACTTTACGCGGTCGGCAAAAAAAAAATAAAAAAGAGAAAAACAACAGTTTTAATACTATACCTGTAGTGCGGGTGATTTCGCCCACCATTGAACTCAGTGGGGTTTTGGCTATACGCGGTTTTCGCTTTACGCGCTAACCGTGGAACAGAACCCCCGCGTAAGATGAGACAGACCTGTACTTCCGGCTCCAAATGAGGTGTGTGGTTGACTCAGGGCTGTCCTTACCCGTACGCAGCTGTGTAGGGCACCAGGAACTTTAGGGCACCAAATTTCCTGGTGCCCTGCGCAGCTGTATGCTGCTCCAGCCCCCGCCCTGCTCTGCCCCCAGCCCCGCCTCTTCCCGCCCCTGCTCCACCTCAGCCCCGCCCTACTCTGCTGAGCTTTGCAGTATGGCTGGGCCTGCACTCATCGGTGGCAGGAAGTGCAGACCCGGCCCCAGCTGCGCCGCCGGTGAGTGCTGGGGGGTGGTTCTCCCCTACCCCCCAAGCCGGCCCTGCCCCCCTCCGCAGAGGTCTGGGGACAACCCCCCCCCATTCTCCCTCCGCAGAGGCCTGCCCTCCCACACACACCCCCGTGGGGGGGCTGCGTAGGGCCCCAGAATAGCTAGGGACGGCCCTGGGTTGATTGGTCAGTTTGTAACTCTGGTGTTCACAACTCTGACATTCTACTGTACTGCAATTGCCTTTGTGAAGATGTAAGATTAGGGAAGCATTGAATGAATTTTTATTTTCTTTTAATACTGCTTAGAAGGTGCAGGTAACACCATGGATCCCCACATGTCTGTGGACCACACAGTTACTGAGTCAGCACAGGATTATGGGATCTCTACCTTCCCTTGCACTGTTTATGCCAAGGGCTGATTGTACATGTAGGTTCTTTCTCTCATTCACACAAATCCTATAATTGCTAGTATTGGAATTCACCTTACAGAATTTAGGAAGAATGTACTTTTAGGTAGGTATCACAGCTCCTTTTTATCATGAAAGATAATAAGGCTTCTTGAAGTGCTGGGGTTCACCTCTGATGTGAATCAAGGGCTGAAAATCACATCCACCAAGATGTAGGCACAGACACATTTCTCTTTTTCCGTCCCACTTCACCAATGGCTATCACAGTGTAAGTTTCCCTTCTGTACGGCCAGAGCCCCCACACCAGGCTCATTCCTATTGCTTTAAAATCTGAGAACAGCCTTTGTATATTTCTTTTCATCCACCTGCAGGAACTGGGATCCTGTCATCACAGCCAGAAGAAAATCCGCACTGGTGGAACGCAAACATGGTGTAAGGAGGGGCACCAAGGGGAACAAGTTTATATTAAAAAAATTATGTACAAAGAGGCACCATGAGAGGAAAAGGGAAGGGGATTATACCCCAGACATGGTGTAAGAATGGGGAGTGGACCATGCAAACACGGTCTATTGCTTCCTAGGACAGCAAGAGCAGGGAGTGCTACAATGGCAGATAACATAATTAATCCTTGGTAAAAGGGAAAACCCTATATTGTTCTCTCTGTCTACCACTTCAGCTTTCCCAGGAGCGGTGTTGACAAGCTCCAGAGTGATCTGTGTCCAATTCAGCTGAAGGCATGGGTTGGTCTAATGATGAACCTCAAGAAAAACTGGGGAGATCCCAGAGGATATCCCCCAAAGGAATAAATTGGGAAATACCATATCAGGTCCTCTGGCTGGTGATGTGCCTGACAGTTCTCAGTGAGCTTCAGATGGCTACTTCTGTTCAGAGGGAAGACCTAGGAGGGGGAGGTTGGCTTGCTTGTGCTTACATAGAGCCTCTGGATTGCAGTGCTGCAAGAAGGGAAGAGAAGTGGATACAGGTGACAATTTCTATTGCAGCAGCTGGGAACAAAAAGCTAAGAGATGGAAAGATAGTTCCATTCCTGCAGAGACATTTAATAACAATACTTAGCAATTACATAGGGTAGGTGAGTTCTCCCCGTTTTACATAAAGGGAAACTGAAGCACAAAGAAAGGCAGTGACTTGCCCAACACCGCCCAAGTCAATGGAAAAGCCAGGATTAGAATTTAGATTTGTGCTCTAGAGCACGATGCCTCATAATTAGGGCTCCACGTTTGTCATGGAGGTCATGGAAGTCACTGATTCCATGACTTCCTGCAACCTCCGTGACTTCTGCAGTGGCCAGTGTGGATGATGCCAGGGCTGCCCAAGCAGCTGGCCCCGGAGCCAGCTGCTCAGGAGGCCCTGGGGACAGCCACAGTGGCTGCTGATTGAGTGGCTCTGCAGCCAGCCGCTTGGGCGACCCCGGAGCCAGCCACCGCTGGAGTGGCCCCAGCCCCAGAGCCAGCCGCACCGACTGTTGCTCTGGTGGCCCCAGGGTCCCTGGGACCGTCTGAGCAGGGCCAATGCAGCTGGCCCTGGGGACCATCTGAGCAGCAGTCTCGGAGGTGGCAGGAGCAGCCGCAGCTCCTGGCAGTGGTCCCGGGGCGGCCGGAGTAGCGGCTGGCCCAGGGCTTCCCCCTGGGACTCCCTCCCTCCCCCCTCCCCCGCCATGGCCGGCTGGAGCAGCTGCTGGCCCCCTGGGGTTCCCCCCCGGCAGCACCCCCCATAAGATTCAATAGGTATTTATGGTATAAGTGATTGACAGCTCACGGGCAGTGATTTTTTGTTTCTTGCCCGTGTCCTGTCTGTGACTTTTACTAAAAATACCCATGATTAAATCGTAGCCTTACTCAATTAGATCAATAAAAAGATTTCAGTAAAAAGGCTAACATCAGAAGTGAAAAAAAAGCAACTGTAACTGACTGCCATGGGAGGTAATCCTTCCTTTGAGTATTCAAGGGGGTGGTATAAGCATCTTATTGAACAAAAACAACGGTCCCTTCCCTTCTCCACAGGATTTCCTTCCAGTTCCTTGCCCCCAGCCTCACCCCTCTGTATGTAAAGGGAAAATGAGTGCTCACAAACTTCTCATCTCTTGCAGTTTCATCCCCTATTGCTCAAGTGATGTTTGGAGTGGTGCCTCTTCCAAATCTGAAAAAAGTGAGTGCTGCCGATGGGCTGGCTGCCAGACAATCATCACACATTAGAGGATATGGCCTGATTTCTCTGAAATTATGTGAATGAGAGACGAGCTTTTTCCTGCTGAGAAGCAGGAAAGAATAACAAGTAACCTCCAGATAAAACATCCCTCTTCCCTCATCACATCCTGCAGGGACATGGTTCAGAGCCCCTGCATGCAGAGATGTCACAGATGCACATCTAATCCCTGCAGGTTGCACCTGGAGTTCCTGAAGCAGCCTTTCCTTTTAGATAAGCCTCTCCTACCCTGCATACACTGCGAATTAAATGGAGTGGCTGGGGCACCATGGCTTGTAATGTGTCTTCTCATATTGCTGACCTGAGTGATAAGTGTAATGAATTCAGTCTCATTCTTGTCCCAAATGGATGTGCAGCCCACCCATTGTTGGTCAGGAGCTGCTTGCAATTTGGCCTGCAAGACAAAAACTTGTGCATTATAATATGATGCTGTTGCCTGATGATACTTTGTTTTGGATCAGCATAATGTCACTGTGACAACAGTGCAAAATTGTGATGTCTCCTTGGCACATACAGATAGACATTTCCTTATGCAGATAAAATTAAAGATTTTTAACATCCTGCAGATGAATCATGACACCTCAGGATATGATGAGTCTTAAAAGATAACCAGGATTAGTACTTGGATGCGAGACCGCTACCGAAAACTCAAGGGGGCTTATTCTCTCACTTACACTGGATGAAACTCCATTGACTTTGGTCAAGTTATTCCTGATACAGCCTGGTGTAACTAGGGTTAGGGCTAGGAGCATCAACCCGAAGGTGCTGCATGAAGTAGTACTAGTAATTCACCAGGACATATGCTTCCCTCTGAATCAGTGCTTGAACCAATGTCCTACTGTCAGCCATTGTGCTGCTGGATATGTCGTCTTTCCACTGATGTGAAATTGATATTCTGACCACTTGTGGGTGCCCAGGACAGTTTTTGCAAGAATAGAGGCATTAGCTCTGGTGTCCTGGCCAAATTCCAAGTGAGATCATGAAATAGTCTCCCTTTCTAAATTTCCCCTATAGTTTCAATTGGATGTAATATTCTTTTTCACTTCCTATTGTGCTGTTCAGTGTTGTTGTGCAACAGTTATGCAGCTATTGTCTCTCACCTCAGAGGGAGGTGCATCGCAGAGTAATTCCTTGTATATGTATTTTGTAACATACTTTGGAATCCTGTAGGCTGAAACCTATCAGCTTAATTTCAGGACTGGAACAACCGAAGATGCAGCAAGTCTGGATCAAGCCAGGGAAAGCCTGTGCTAGGAAAGGCCCTCAGTACCTACCTGCCTTGCTCTTACTTTCATGTGGACTAACATTCTTCAAGGTTACAATTTGTAAATTTCAGTGTATGGTAGAATTTGTTCAATGCAAACAGTTTCTCTGCCTTCAGGGTCCTGAGCAACTGTGGGATGGGGATGTGTGAGGGAAGCCTCTTCAACAAAGTTTTAGCCTACACATCACAGTCCTATTGATGGTGAACTCTTTCTTTTCCAGATGAATATGCCTTCATGGGAGCCCTCATAATACAAGAGGTAGTAAAGGAGCTGGTGGGAAAAGGCCTTAGTAATGCAAAAGTACTACTTCTGGCAGGAAGCAGGTAAGTGTCTGCAGAAGATTGTCCTACAATGAAGAGAGAAATAATATGAAAGAGCAATTGCCATGGAACACTGTCTTTACAGATTAGTTCCCAGACACTGCCTGCGGATGGTGCTAAGAGGAGTGAGGCAGAAGCACTGGTAGCGGAAAGCTCGCACAAATACTCTTCTCAGCCTCTTCCTGTAGGAGCTGCAATAGGGAATGATGTAGAAATACTGGCTATAGGAGAATCTCAGCTTTTGATTCGGAGGAATTTATTTATGGGGAAAGAATATTAGACAATAGAAACAGATGGAAAATTTTGTCTCCAAATTCCAGGGTCTTTCTATTTTGAGCTGCCAAAGCTCTTGCTAATAACAGAAAAGAGCTATGCCAGAAAGAACAAAATAAAATGGATGGCCTTTGGTTGCTGAACTAGTTAGGATTGCTTTTATTTCTGAGAATTTCTGAAGTGAGGAAATAACTTGCTGACTAGATTATGCCCTTACAGACTGGTCAAATGCATCAAAACGGTGAAAGCAGTATGTATTGTAACTGTCTTTCAGGTCTTTGACTGAATTACTGATCTTGTCATTGCAGTGCTGGGGGAACTGGGGTGCTTCTCAATGTGGATCGAGTAGCAGAGCAGCTGGAGGAGATGGGTTATCAAGGGATTCAGGTCCGAGGGCTGGCAGATTCTGGCTGGTTCCTGGATAATAAACAGTACCGCAGAACCGACTGTATTGATACCATAACCTGTGCCCCAACAGAAGCTATTAGGAGAGGAATCAGGTACAATAAAATATTCTAAACTACCCTTCCCCAAGAGCTAAGGATGAGGAGAAATCCTGAGGCAGGGCTCTGAGGGATAGCTCAGTGGTTTAAGCATTGGCCTGCTAAACCCAGGGTTGTGAGCTCATTCCTTGAGGGGGCCATTTAGGGATATGGGGCAAATCTGTTGGATAATTTAAATGAGGATTGGTCCTGCTTTGAGCAGGGGGTTGGACTAGATGATCTCATGAGGTCCCTTCCAACCCTGATATTCTATGACACTCTTCCTGCCTTCCTTGTGTCCCTTTTGTATTTATAAGATACCTATCACATGCCTCACACTTTGTGGATGAGCTTCTACTTCTAAATAAAAGAACCATAATTTCAAAGGCATATTCATGAGACTGTGTGACATTGCAGACACTGTACTGAGTAACACAAGGGAAGAATGTTGCTGTTAATAAACTGAAAATGCCATCTCTCTAATCCTCCCATCACTGAGTATCTGATTGTTATCTAGGGGTAGGTGCCATACCCTAGGATCATAAAAGCAAGTGACGGGAAAAGTCCTATCAGAGCAGCCAGTCCACCTTCGAACAGAAAGTATCATTGGCTAATGAAATCCCAGCTCTCCTCCTTCTCATTTATAAGTCATGTTTGATTAAAAAGTACTGTTCACACCTGCTTGCCTTCCAGCTGAATCAAGAAAGGTTAGCTCTGTTCTTCTGTGCAGGGTTTTTTGTGTTCACTGCTTCATTCGTGCACAGAGGACTCTCCGACTGCATCCAGCAAATGCCCCAGTGTTCTAGTGAATAGGAGATACTCCAAGCGAAATGAGACTGTGTGGCATCATGGCACTAACCCCACCATTGCTGTCTTTCAGATATTGGAATGGCATTGTTCCTGAACGCTGCAAACTGCAGTTTAAAGAGGGGGAGGAATGGAATTGCTTTTTTGGCTATAAAATTTATCCCACTCTTCGATGTAAGTGTAAAAAGAAAGGCCTACCTGCCTGAGAGTCTGAAATTGGTCCTAGGCGGTTCCTTCATTTACTGCTGCTAACCTGATGAAGACTCTCTCCAATTCTTTTTCCCTCTAGGTCCAGTCTTTGTGGTGCAGTGGCTCTTTGATGAGGCCCAGCTCACTGTAGATAATGTGCACCTAACTGGACAGCCTGTCCAGGAGGGGCAGTGGCTCTACATCCAGAATCTGGGCCGGGAGCTAAGAAATACCCTGAAGGATGTGACGTGAGTATTGCAGTAGGAAAAGCTGGGGTGTTCTTTTCCCTAAGAGAAGTCCTGCATAAGCTGGTTTGTGGGAGGTTCACAGTGGCTCTCTTGATACCAATGTGATTTATTTAGTATCTGTACCTAATCTGCATCAGGAAACATGCTCTTAACATATCTGAAAAAAAAATGAGGCGGGAACAGAGTTTTTTGGGATGTTTTAAGAGACACTGATCATAAAACATCCCAGCAACAGATGAAAGGGTGACATGAAACCTCTCGTATGTCTTAGACACTTCATGCTAGATCAGCTCTTCATGGGAGTCACTGTAGCACCTATGAGCCCCTATAAATGCACCCAACCAATAAGCTATGGAAATGTGCCATTTTCTGAAAACTCCACCCTGTTCTAGTCTATTCAGATTCTTATATCATGTCCAGCACTGTGGTATCCAAGCATCATGCCAGGGACAGCAGAACTTCTAGCCAATTCCAGGACAGGGGGGAATTATCTGTGAGACAAGTCACCTTTTTGCCTTCTCACCCTACCTAATCTGTGTTTCTTTCCTTTCAGTGCTAGCTTTGCTCCAGCCTGTTTGTCTCATGAGATCATTACGCGCAAGTAAGTGTCTCTCTTCACAGAGTCTATGAAATGTCATGAGTTAGCAAGAAAGGGAATATGGTAATACTGATACTCTAACCCCGCTGATACAATGTGTATGGTTTGATTTTTGCAGTCACTGGACAGACATCCAGGTGAAAGGAACTTCATTACCCCGTGCCCTGCATTGCTGGGACCGCAGCCTGCATGACAGCAACAAAAATGGGAAAGCCCCTTTGAAGGGTTGCCCAATCCATCTGATTGACAGCTGTCCCTGGCCCCACTGTAACCCCTCATGCCCTACCATCCGGGACCAGTTCACGGGGCAGGAGATGAATGTGATCCAGTTCCTCATGCACATGGGTTTTGATGTTCAGAAGATGGCACAGCAACAGGGCCTGGAGCCCAGTAAACTTCTGGGGATGCTGAGCAGTGGTAGCTAGAAAGGGTTCTCCATGAAAGGGCAGATTGATCAGATAAGGAGCGGGAGCCTCTAAGCTTCTCTCCCAAACTCTTTAACCTTCTCCATTCTCATGCAGATATGCACACTTACACACATGCACACTCACAAGCACACCTGCACACTTAGTGTGTGTCAAGAAAAAAAAGACAGATTCTTGCTTACACCATTTGACTGAAACTCATTACCTCTAAACTTCAGGGCCCAATCTTGGCTGTTCAGAATCTCTTTCTGTGTTACACAAGGTGGCCTGAAGCAGGGAGCAGCAACGCCATAAACACCAGCATTGAGAACCCTTCCCAAGAGCTAAAAGGACTCTTACCCTTGCTGAGAATGTTTCACATCATAGACTTACAACATATGGTGAAAAAAGCACTGGATTTTTTTGTCCAATTAGAAGTGAAGGATTACATGACTTCCTAGAGGTCAGCATCTCATGATGTATCATAATGTACAAACCAAGGACATGTGCTAGGAACGGACACTCTTATAATCAATTTACTTTTGTATTATTTTATAAAATGACTTTTTTTATTATTTTTTAAAAAATTATGCAAGAAATATAAAATTAATGATATTGTTTTGTAACATATTTTTTTTAAATAATGAAAAAACCTCCTGCTACTATGGCAATGTGGGCATATTTATTTTAATATGTAAATGCTATTTATAAGGGCTGACCAGAGAACTGCTCATATGTCTTTGTAAAGTTATAAATACTGCTCTTGGGGATGGGTTTTTTTTCTGATCACATGTGTGTGGGAGAGGGCAGTATTGGCATTATTATAATTATTATTAGATTCCAATGTTCCCCTTGTAGTATGTTTGTTGTTATTTCTGGAATGGAAAGGATGTAATGCACGGTCTAGTTACAGAACTTGGTAGTCAGAATCCACCATCCCATGGCAGTGATTAATACAGGTTCACAGTTCCAGACTATGTGCAGAGCTGAAACTCAAGTAAATAGTTTCAAATATTAAGTGTTTAAAAATCTTTGCATTCATAGATTGTAAGGCCAGAAGGGAGCACTCTGATCATCTAGTCTGACCTCCTGTAGAACACAGGCCTCCACAAAATCATTCCTAGAGCAGATCTTTTAGAAAAACATTCAATCTTGATTTAAAAATTGTCAGTGAACACTGGGTAAGTTGTTCCAAGGATTAACTACTCTTACTGTTAAAATTTTACACCTTATTTCACTCAGTATTTGTCTAGCTTCAACTTCCAGTCACTGGCTCAAGTTATACATTTCTCTGGTGGACTGAAGAGCCCATTATTAAATATTGGTATTTATAGACTGTAATCAAGTCATCCCTTAAGTCTCTCTCTGTTAAGATAACTCCAATTGCAGTCCTTGAGTCTACTGCTATAAGGCATGTTTTCTAATCCTTTAATCATTCTTGTGGCTCTTCTCTGAACCTCTCCAATTTACCAACATCCTCCTTGAACAGTAGACACCAGAACTGGACACTGTATTCCAGCAGTGGTCACACTAGTGCCAAATTCAGAGGTAAAATATCCTGTCTACTCCTACTCCTGTTAGAAAACAGCCATATCTACCAGTTTGACTTAGACAATGAGAAATGTATAAGCTCAAGGGCCAATTCTGGCCCCCTATATGCTGCTCTGATAGCACAGAAGGGATTTAAAGAAATCACAACAGGCTGGGGAAGAATTTCTCTGGCACAAGAGCAGCATCCAGCCACCCTATGCTGATCCCATAGCATAATGTGTATGGAGAGATGTCCTGGAAAGTGAGGCTCCAGGGTGCTGAGTGCTACGAAGATTCTGGGCTTCAGTGCAGACTGCATAGGGCTCCCATAAATTTGAATAGCTGTGGGGACTGCACTTGCTCCCAACCAATCCAAGTCCAGGCAATGAAAATGTGGTTCAAAGTCACCTTTGCTTCTCCTGGCCCTAAGCTGTCCCTCCTGTGACACACAGATGTCCCCTGATCTTCAAAAGGAGAGTAGTCTCTGTCCCCACTCTACTTACACTAAATTCCAGCTCAGAGAGACAGCTGGAGCCAGAAATACAGACAATGTAATTAGAAATATAAGTGTAACAAATAAAACACGAGGTGATCTGAACAGTTTTGAAAAATTCTATGCAGGGAGACACAAAATCTTTATAATGTAAGAAATGTGATACTCACAGAATAACAATGACACACAACATACATGTCTGGAATCAAAATAAATTTATAGAATTGGCTTCAGAAGCAGCCCCATCCAATGAATAACACCAAGAACTCTTGAAAACAAGAAGAGATGGAATAGAGTGCTTTCTCTGAACTCATGCCATACAAAACTTGAGTAACCACTCAATGGGCATGACTCCAGTGTTGGGCTTCACCCCATAGATGGAACCTGGAGACCTATCACCCATGAGTCAAATCAAACAAAGCATAATCCAATGGGCTGAAAAGAACAAAAAACAGAAAATGAACAGCCAGTAAGAATGACAATCTGCTCTAGTGAAATTTAAAGAATGTTGTGATCAATGGTATAAAAAAATCTGAATTATAGGACACAAGTCTGGAGTCCAGAGAAAGGACTCAGGGGAATCTTCATAGGAGAGAGGAATTAGGGAGCCCCTCAAGGAAAATAATTCATTATTATTATTTATTTATACTGCAATAGTGCCTAAAGTAAAAAGGGCCCAATCAGAATTGGCTCTGCACAGACATCTAGTAAGAGACAATCTCAGCATCTCTCACCTTTCTATATGACTTTATCTGATAGTAGTTTAGGCTGCATTCCAAGAAGTCAGGGCTTCTGCTCCTGTGTGCAGCATTTCATCTATTGCTTAAACAAAAAACAATGTTTTCTCTGTGGCTGGTAGGGTTTTCTTTAGATTTGTAATGTTTTCTATCTGGTTCTATCTGTGAATCACCTTATAAAGGTACTAGATATCACATAATGTAATCTGACACACAGTCATGTGTATGTGCCTCACACATCATTTGTTTTACCTGCACAATTTCTTTTTGCAGTTCACGAACACTGGCCTGGGATTCTGTATCTTCCTTCAGGGCCTATTAGCCAAGCAGGACTGTCCTGTCCTGTCCTGTGCAGCAGTGTTTGAAATAGCTAATTTGCCAGAGTTTAGGAGACAGAGTCCTGTAGGAGAAGCTGGGGACTGCCACCTCAGAACACTATAGCTGCCATTTGCTGTAATCTGCTACCTTCTAAATGCAACAACCACAAAACGGCTCAGATGTATCTGTGTGAGGCAGGGAAACCAGTCATTTGTGATGATTTATTAATATCCAGAGCAGGGCCAAGGCTCCACCAAAGGCAGTGAATTCCAACTTTCAACCCAAATGCTCTTAAGTGTGTTTATTTCCAGTGCATCTATCCTCTTGTTCCTGACTTGTCCAATTACTGATACTATCGCCCTCTGCTGGCAGAACCTTCTATCACTGGCTTCTCTTTCTGGAGTATTATTGTATACAGTTAATCTAGGGACCAGGTGAACAGGTGAAATATAGTTCCGAGCCTTTTATTGTAATAAGTAGATGAATGAGTTCATGTTTGCAAATCACACTACAAATGCTGAGTATTAGTGATTATTGCTGTTTGTAAAAAAGTCCCTTCAAACAGTTTTTCAATATAAGAATAGAGACTGACCTGTTCTTAGGTATTACTGGGACTAATAAGTGACTTGTGCTGCCTTGGGCCTTATTCCAATAGTCACATTAACTTTGCCTTGTAGCACAGCCTGTGTGTTTTATGGGACATGTCACAATGCAGGTAGTAATATACTACACTAGCCATTATATCTGAAAAACACTCAGTTCATCCAGTGATAAAGCTGTACAGTTAACAACATGAAAAGTCAGGAAATGCAAAAGTTAAAGTTTCAATAGAATGTTCATGTCGCTGAATGCTACATACCAGTGGAATCTTCACTTTTGCATTTCCTGACTTTTTGTGATGTTAACTGTACAGCTTTAACATGAAATAAAGGTTCTAGGGTATTTTTAAGGAAGGGAAGGGGTGAAAAAGCAGAAGGAAAAATCCAGAGCTTAGTTTCTGGAGCTTCCGAGCTTCATGCTCTACATAAGCACTTCCCAAACTGTGATCCATGGAGCACTTGCTAGTAGTCTGTGGAGAGATGACTGGCCACCACATGCTGACCATCCTTATTTCCAGCTACTAAACTGCATTAAAAGAAGATGCAACTAGAATAACTACTTTTCTGATAATTGTTTTCCATGTAAGCAACTACTATAGTTGCCACAGAGAGTAATTTGACTGCCAAAGGAAAGGGAGATGGTCATAGGCCACTCTGTTGTCATGATAAAATGTGGGAACTCCTGCTCTACAAGAGTTCTGCTTTGGGAGTTCATAGGCTTCACCAGGACAGCTTGGAAGTTCTTTCAACCTATCCGTGCATTTTTCCTGACTAGAGCCCTGAACCATAGTCAGAGATGGACTCTTGCAAGTGAACAGAGTCCCTCTGAAGTTCATGGACACTCCCCCCCCCCCAACCCACACACACACACACACACACACCCTAGTTGTGCATACCTATTTAGTGCATGGTACTCTTCAGGTATTCATTTTTTGGCTGTGGCAGGGTCTAAAAAAGTTGGGTAAGGATTTTTTGTATATTTTTTTCTCTCTTCCATTATTAACATTTTCAATAATTAAAATATAATCCACCTTTGGGTAAAGATAGGGTTGCCATGCGTCCGTTTTTTCCCAGACATGTCCAGCTTTCTGGTAATCACACCCCCGTCCAGGGGGAATTTCCAAAAAGCTGAACATGTCCGGGAAAAATACTCCCTGGGTTACCTTAGACCGGGCGCCGGGGGCTGCTGTGCTCCCTGACTCCTGGGCTCTGTAAGCGCCAAGCTGCCCAAGCGCTACTGGCTTCGGGCAGCCCAGAGGCATGGGGGCTGCCCGAAGCCGGTAGCGCTCGGGAAGCTCGGCGCTTACAGAGCCCAGGAGTTCAGGGAGCACAGCAGCCGCTGGAGCCCGGGAGGGGAAGTTCCCGGCCGGGGGCGCAGGGTCCGGAGGCATGGAGGCTGCCCAAAGCCCACGCGCTACCGGCTTCACGGTTTGCCGGGCAGCCTCCAGACCCTGCGCCCCCACTGGGCGCTTCCCCTCCCGGGCTCCAGCTGTGCCTCCGGCCGGGGGCACAGGGTCTGGGGGCTGCCCGGCAAACCGTGAAGCTGGTAGCGCTCGGGCAGCCCTTTTCGCATGGCTGGGAGGGAGGAGGGGGAATGTGGGGCGCTCAGGGGAGGGGGTGGAGTTAGGGCGGGGACTTTGGGGAAGGGGCCAGGGTGGGGAAGGGGCAGGGCCAGGGCCCCGTGGAGTGTCCTCTTTTTTTATTTTTTAAATATGGTAACCCTAGTAAAGACCAACCCTGGGGAAAAACATTTTTGGAAAGTTCTGAGCCTTTGAGAATGGAGAATAAGAATATTATCATAATTACTGTGGGCACTCCAAGCACCTGGTCAGTAGCTAAGACAAGGGGAGTCTGCAAAGGTCGGAGAACAAAAGTTAAGCATTCTTAAAACTACAATACCCACCTGCTGAAGTGAAAAAACAGATTG